TGGGATGTCGAACTGAACCCTTTATTTCGCTCACTGGGGTGGACTGTTCATACTGTTCTAGTTCCATGTGGCATATTTTTAATGGATGTCAGTTATCCTGTTAATTCCCCCTCTGAAAGTTCTCCACTGCCTTAGCCGGGTATTGAACTCAAACTCTTTGGGTCCTGTCACTGGATCTAACCAACGCCTTTATCTACCGTGCCATGTGTGCTTGAGGTATCTGAGTCTGAATTTCTGGTATTATAAACCTAATCTAATATATATATATATATATATATATATATATATATATATATATATATATATATATATATATATATATATATATATATATATATATATATATATATATATATATATATATATATATATATATATATATGTGTGTGTGTGAAAAGTGTATATAAATATAAATAAATATAAGTATGTATAATTATTTATATATTATATACGCGGTACTTATTTATTAGGAGTTTGTCTGACGATCGCTAAAGCGTGAAACCCAGGGTCACAAACTCATATCTATCAACCAAATATATATATATATATATATATATATATATATATATATATATATATATAATCATTTTATCCCATGCAAAGCAATAAAGTCACTAGAATACAAGGAGTTTGAAACTGAGATTGAAAGAAACAGAGAGGTACCAAGGAGACAGAAGTAGATTGGAAGTTGGAAGAGTGTTCCACAAGCAAGAAGTGCGGAAAAGGAACTATTAGCATGGAACTTACGGTTGCAACAATTAATTTCATCAGTGAAATGATGCCTAGCTGTCAATCTAGTACTGTGTTGAAATTCGTGAAGTTGAGCTACTAACGAGGAAAGCACATCAGAACAATTGACGTGAAAATATTTATAAAAGAGGCAAAAGGGAAGCCATGTCACTGCGATTTGGAAATTGACTAAAACCGAGATGCCAAACACCTCTTTGGATTTTTTCAAGAATATATAGAAGTAAAACAAAAGCCCCAGACCAGATGTGGCAGCAATATTGAATGCACGGACGAACGATAGACATATGATATATATATATATATGATAAAAAATATGGTTTTAAGATATGTATATGGCAAAAGTGGTAGTAATATATCGTATGTAAATATAAAAATTAGATGTGGAGGTCAACACTGAGCGATGACAGACTGTTTCATGCTTGAAAACAATCTTCAGATAATATCCTGAAGTTTGCGTTCAAGCATAAAACAGATTACTGCTGTTCTGTTTTGACCTCAGTGTACGTCCAGCGTGCCGAATATACGTACACACACACACACACACACACACACACACACACACACACACACACACACACACACACACACACACATATATATGTATGTATATCTATAAAAACTTTTCCCTCATAATATTCCAATATGCACTCACAACTTCATATATATATATATTCCAAAATTCGCTTGAAGATGCTTCTGATTTAATTATAATGCTTCCCATTTTAATTATATAATTGAATTTGAAGTTTTTAGTTCCTGTTTTTGTAACATGGTAATTCCTGTGTAGCAATGAATCCATATTTTTAAATCATTTATAATATTAATGCTCTGTAAATTTACATTGAGCACTGTTTTGTAAAAAATAAGAATATCAATAAGAACACCGGATTATATATCTTACTGCTTTTTTTTTACTATTATATATATATATATATATATATATATATATATATATATATATATATAAGCAGTTCTTAAAAAGAAGTCTATCGTATATACAAACCAGAAAGAAAAGGGTCTTTTTGGGACTGTGAAAAAATGTATTAGCAATAAGTTGCTTATTGCCCTATGTACAAACTGTTTTTGGGTCGACATGATTTAGGAGCTTTAAGAATTGAGCCACGGCATCAAATTTGTTACGAAAGCGGTAAATGTTTTTGTCTCTTTGGGTAAATTTACATTAGTGGTCGGAAAGGTGATCCTTTGTTTGCATTGAGCACTTTTTCTTTCTGGTGTGCATATATATATATATATATATATATATATATATATATATATATATATATATATATATATGTTAGTTTTGGGGTAATAAAAGCTCCCATTTTCGGATTACACCTGTCGACCGCCTTGTCAGTCAGTTATGTACCATGCGTGATACACGATCATGCATCTTTCGATAGATGACTGACGAGGCAGATTTTTTTCCCCGCAGTAGTTTGCCATGTCTTTCTGGCCAGTTGCTACCCAAGGCTATAGAACCCGGTCTGTCCTGCTATTTACCCATAGCTGAGGGGAGAAGAAGAAGAGGATTCATACCCTTCCCAAGGGTGCACGTAAGTGAATGTAATGGATTCAACTTCGAATTCTCAATCTAAGCCGCAATCCCATTACTCCACCGTGCCTTTCCAACCGCCTGACGATTGCTTAAAGGCATGGAACTTTATTTAAAAAATTATAACATAAATATGTAATAAAATCACTACAAAAAATAGCCATTTTGTTTCAACACCTCCAGTGTCTTATCAAGATGATGTTGAATGTAAAATAGATGCTTTTAAAAGTTTTAAATTAATTAACGATACTTCGCAAGGGGAAAACGTTGTTAAAAAAGCTAGAATGACCAATCAAAATACAAGTACAGGAAAATTAAAAAAGCTTGACAACGAAGTATGGTTATAATAGCTGTTCAGATCTTTAAAATAGGGGTAATATTAAAAAAAGAATTTTTTCTAACCAATAATTATTAAATTATATGATAAAATTTGATATTAAAATTAAAAGTAAAAATTACCAATTTTAAAATCCAAATTTAATCTCTATTAAGTTTAAAATTATAAAATTACAGAGGAGAAAAGAAAAAAAGACATGTTATTCAATTTATTCTGTATTGAGCACTCTTTTAAGAATAGTAATTGTTGGTTATTGGAATTCATTCCGTATACACTAATCATATACTTGTATATATATATATATATATATATATATATATATATATATATATATGGTAGAGAGAGAGGCAATAAAAGAATGGGGTGGGTAATAAAACAAAGCTCGATGAAAAATAACAGAGCTAAAATTTATACTACAGTGTAACCCGGATATAAGAGACCCGGATATAAGAGAAACCCGGATATAAGAGAGATTTTCTCTGGTCCCAAATTAGAGTCTGTGTTAATGTATATATAAAATAGACCAAACCCTGATATAAGAGAAACCCGGATATAAGAGACTCCTTCTCCGGTCCCGACAACTCTCTTATATCCGGGTTACACTGTAATAATACATGCAAAAGAAGTGAACCAAAAGTATGTGGGCAGTAGGTTGAAGAGGGTCAGGGGTCAGGGTTATATTAAAACTATGGTGTTTCCGCTAGATTATATTAATCTATTTATAAATAAATTTATTTAAATTTAATCCTATTTTTTCAGATAGTTCAAAGAACCTATAGTGGCAAATAATTTAAATATTGATGCAATAAAATGTCTGTTAAAAGAGTACTGGAAGTCTTAAAATGGTGAAGCCATTAGAACAAAATCGGTTGAAACATTTGGTACTCGAGTCCCCAAAAGACAAACCATTTACCGTTTATGAAAATTTAATTGTCTTAATATAGAATGTTAAAATAAATGTTATCATTTACTGTCCATCCACTTTTGGTCAACACACGCACAAACACACACACACACACATATATATTTAAAACAAATAACAACGGAAGCTGTAGAATAACTCTTTATTCTAAACATCGCTTGAGAGTGGAACTTTACTCTAAATTTTAAGTTTAATATTGATATTAAAGTTTAGGACTTGAGACAAGTTTCGAAACACAGTAATTTCTGTGTCGCGATGGAATCATATTTAAAAAAAAATAATTCTAATTTAAGCTCTACTTTTGTATCGAGCACTGTTCTTTTTTAAAAATAAAAACATAAATACTAAAGAACTTTGGATCATTAATCTGTTTCCTATTACACACACACACACACACACACACACACACACACACACACACACACACACACACACACACATATTCCTATATATCAACGTAAACATAATTTTAGTCTGATGAAGTCCTAAAAGACGAAACGCGTCACACGAAAACTTTTTCCACTTTGTCATACTTCTTTCCCTTAAAACTGTTTTTGATATATAAAAAATTATATATCACTATCCTATATATATATATATATATATATATATAACGTTTTCGCTTAGTTTGCAATGAAAATGTAGATGTATTTATCTATGTCACTGTACTTGCAATTATATATATATATATATATATAAAATGTGTATGTATATATATATATATATATATATATATATATATATATATATATATATATGCAACTTTTATATATATTATTTATATATTATATATGCGGTACTTATTGGAAAACAGTGATATTAATATTAAGTTGGATTGATGTGAGTTTGTGACCCTGGTATCACTGTATTTGCGATCGTTTGTCTGACGATCGCAAATACTAAAAAACTCAGGGTCACAAACTCGCATCAATCCAACTAATATATATATATATATATATATATATATACAGAGGAGAAGGAAAAAAGATTGAAAATGATTTAATTTACATACCGCATAAAAATTAATAAGTACAGACCTACCACTTTGACAGAAAGAAAGCACGCGAGAGCGAGCAGACGCGAGGTCGAGCAGACGCGAGACTTAACCTGTTGATAAGGAAGTAATATTTACCCATGAGTCTGTTCCCGTAAGCATATTACATGATTGAATGTTATACATCGTAGATCGCGAGAAATAGTATTTTCAAAATTAACAATGACTTTAATTCGAGAAATTTTGAAAATACAAAATATATTATTTCTAAAAAAAAAACTGATAAATATGTTATTTTAAATTAAACATATATATTTTTTTAATTTTGGAGGAATGGTTCACTTTCGTTTGCAAGAACTAATGCTCAATAAAAAAAAAAATAAAATAAAAGATTCTTATGGATTGAATATTAAGCTCAACCGGAAGATTTTCGTCGGTAACGTCACTTAAGAAAATAAGAGAAAAGAGAAGCAGAAAAGTAGAGGAAAGGAAAGTGAGGAAAAATAATTAAGAGAGAAAGAGAGTGAATGTCAAAAGAGAGAAAGATCGTGAAAGGTGTGACCGAGGAGAGTGAGTGAGTGAGAATGTGGGGGAGATGAAAACTGAAAGCAGAACCATAGAAACGAAAACCATTCACAGAAGAGTTAAGCGGGTGAAAAGAAAGAGCGGGTAAAAGGAGAAAGAGAGAGTGCGAGAAATGAAAGAGAGAACGAGAGAGAGAGAGAGAGAGACAGAGAGAGGGAGAGAGGGAGGGAGGGAGAGAGGGAGGGAGGGAGAGAGGGAGGAAGGGAAGAGTGAGAAAGTGTGTGGGAACGATAGGGAGAAGGAATAATAAACAGAGCGAGACAGAAAGACTTATACCGAAATAGATAAATATATACAAAGAGGAACAACGGGTCGATCGATCGATCGATCGATCGATCGATCGATCAGTAGATAGATAGATAGTTAGATGAATAGATAGATAGATAGATAGATAGAGAGAGAGAGAGAGAGAGCAAGCAACAGAAAGTGAAAAAAACAATAGATAGTACGTGAGAGGAAAGAAGGACTATATATATATATATATATATATATATATATATATATATATATATATATATATATATATATAAAGGAAAGAGAATAGAAGAAATAAAAAAAGAAAAGGATTATGTAAGGTTAACGAGCTAGATCACATCGGAAAAGCACACACGCACACACACACACAACTCACACACACACATATAAGAAATATACACACATATATATATATAACAAAAGAGAAAGAAGGCACACAAACGCGCGCGTGCGCGTGCACACACACACACACACACACACACACACACACACACACACACACACACACACACACATATATATATATATATATATATATAGAAAGAGAAAGGAAACTCCAGACATATACACCCACGCGCGCGCACTCAAACACATATGAAGAAAGAAGGAGGGAAAGAGAGAAATAACAGATGATAGAGAAGAGAAAAAGTAGATGCAGCGAGAGAGGGAGAAGATTAATATATATCTTACTACATATAGTGAAAGAGAAAGAGAGAGAGAGAGAGAACACAGTAGATAGATAGATAGATAGATAGATAGATAGATAGATAGATAAAGAGAGAAAGGGAAAGAGAACGAACAGCGAGATAAAACACTTTAGAGAGAAATATGAGGGAGAGTGAGAGAAAATAAACCGTAGAGTATGGACACTAGATAAAAAGAAAAAGACAGGAAGACAGAGAATGGAAATAGATAGAGAAGGAAAGGGGGAGAAAGACGAGAGTGACAGAAAGAGAGGGAGCGAAAGAACAGAAAGACAGTAAGAAAGAAAGACAGAGAATAGAAAGAAAGGAAAGGAAAGAATAAAAAGGACAGAAAGAGATGGAGAGAAAGAAAAGAGAGACAGAAATAGAAGGAGAGAAAAATAGAGAGTCAGAAATAAAGGGAGAGAAAAAAGAGTTAGAAAGGAAGGGAAAGAAAGAATATATATATATATATATATAGAGAGAGAGAGAGAGGGGGGGAGAGGGAGAGAGCGAGGGAAAGAGAGAGGGAGAGAAAGAATCGAGAGTCAGAAAAAAAGAGAAAGAGGGCAGTATATATGTAGAAAATGGCTGAATTATTACTGAACTAGTGTGATATGAGTTAGAAAAAAAAACGCGATACACGGTGTGGGCGTTCAGTGTCTTTCTATAAACAGACTCAAACAAAAAAACGTTTCTCTTCTTGTTTTCTTAAAGTTGTATATGTAACCGTATTTAAACTTTACCCACAAATCTGATGTTCTAAGGGATGCTAATATTGGTGCTACAGCTTCTTCCATTTTTGATCCCAACTACAACAAAAGCCACCTTTCAGCTTAGAATCCAAAAGAAAGCCTGTTCCCCAATGTTTCCAGCGCAACCGTTTATCCTCCCCCATCATTTGTCGGAGAACTTTCCTCTCACGTCATCTGTTGGATTTGTTGTCACCGACGTTGCTAAGGAGACGAGAGCGAGTGGCGCGGATTCTTTCCATCGATTCATAAGTAGAATCAAACTAAATTATCATTAAAAATACGGGGGTGGGTAGCTGTCAATAGTGGGGGCGGAAGTCAGACGACATGGGTGGGCGTTTTGGATAGTTTGGAGATGAGGTAAAGTATGCTAAAGAAAAAGAAGATAAAGTTAGAAACAAAAATGCAAAGAAGAAGAAAAGACGCTAAATTAGGGAGAGTAAGGAGAGAGAGAGAGAGAGAGGAAGAGAATAAAAAGGAATTTGAAAGAGAAAGAGTGAGTGAAGGGGATATAGGGAGGGGAAGTACAGGGAAGTTAAGATATAGAGGAAGAAAATATAGAGGAATATGAAAATGAAAAGTGAGAGAGAGAGAGAGAGAGAGAGAGAGAGACAATGAAGTAAAAGAAGAAAAAGAGAGACACGGGAGAAGCAAAAACGTACATCTAGGTGAACAGATGAATAGCAAAAAATGCGAGAAAATTGTAAAATAATAGATGTGCAAAAACTAAAAGAAAGATGAAATAGTTTCACTCAGTCAAAGAAAGAAAGAAAGAATGCAAGTAAAGAAAGAAAGAAAGAAAGAATGGAAGTAAAGAAAGAAAGAAAGAAAGAAAGAAAGAAAGAAAGAAAGAAAGAATGGAAAGAATGAGAGAAAGAAGCAAACAGACTAGAAAGTGAAAGAGAAAAAAGTGACTGAGTTACGAGAATAGGAAATCGTTGTTAGGTAGGATGAGAAGGAGGCAAAGAGAGCAAACACTGAGAGGAGAAAAAGAAAGAAAGAGAGAAAGTGTGGGCGACTTAGATAAATATGGAGAGACTGAGATAGATAGATAGATAGATAGATAGATAGATAGATAGATAGATAGATAGATAGATATGAACAGACTGAGATAGATATGAAGCGAGATAGATAGATAGATAGATAGATAGATAGATAGATAGATAGATAGATATGAAGAGACTGAGATAGATATGAAGCGAGATAGATAGATAGGTAGATAGATAGATAGATAGATAGATAGATAGATAGATAGATATGAAGAGACTGAGATAGATATGAAGCGAGATAAATAGATAGATAGATAGATAGATAGATATGAAGAGACTGAGATAGATATGATGCGAGATAGATAGATAGGTAGATAGATAGATAGATAGATAGATAGATAGATAGATAGATATGAAGAGACTGAGATAGATATGAAGGCAGGGATAGATAGATGGATAGATGGATAGATAGATAGATGGATGGATAGATAGATAGATATGAAGAGACTGAGATAGATATGAAGCGAGATAGATAGATAGATAGATAGATAGATAGATGGATAGATAGATAGATATGAAGAGACTGAGATAGATGTGAAGGAGATGGATGGATAGATAGATAGATATGAAGAGACTGGGATGGATGTGGGGAGGGATGGATGGATGGATGGATGGATGGATAGATGGATGTGAAGAGACTGGGATGGATATGGGCGGGATGGATGGGTGGATGGATGGATGGATAGATGGATATGAACAGAATTAGATAAACAGACAGATGTGAACAGACATAGATGGATGTGAAGAGATTGAGGTGATATAAACAGAATTAGATGGATATAAAGAAATTGAGATAGATAGATAGATAGATATGAACAGAATTAGATAAATAGATGGATAGATGGATGGATGGATAGATGGATATGAATACACTGGGATAGATGGATAGATAGATAGATAGATAGATAGATAGATAGATAGATAGATAGATAGATAGATAAGGAATAGACTGAGATGGAGAGATTATGAACACAGAACAACGGACAGACATAGCTAACTAGTTAGATAAGACACAGGATAAATAGATAAATAAAAACAGTTGATATACAGTCAAACAATTAGGTAGTAAGTCTATGATAGATAGATAGATAGATAGATAGATAGATAGATAGATAGATAGATAGATAGATAATGAGTAGGATTATGAATACAGACCAATGGACAGACATAGCTAGCTAACTTGATAGATAGATTATAAACTCAAAACAACGGACCAATCTAACTTGGGAGAAATATATAATGGCGACAAACAACAGAGACAAATAGCTAGCTAGATAGCTAGCTTAATAGATAGATCGATCGATCGATCAATAGATAAATAGACAATAAACATAAATAGATACTTATAAATAGACGATTATGATTGATACTCATTCATAGTTTGATAATAAAGAGAGTCAAACAGACAGAAAGACAGACTGACAAACTGCAATCACGCTAGCTAACAAAATAGGACGAGGGCTCAGAACACAAATCTCGTAGGACTGATAAGGTAAGTAGTCACTTCGTTTTTCACGAGGTACCCCAATTCTGCAACCCTGTGTCAGTTGAATCTACAAAAGAACGAAGAAGAGAGAGTCATGGAATGAAGAGATCAAGTGAAAAAAGAAGAGGAAAAAAAAAACGGAAAAGGGAGAGAAAGAGGTAAAAGAAAACGAAAAGTAAAGCGTGAGACAGAGAAAAAGAAAGAGGCAGATGTAGTATAGAGAATGAAAAAGAGGAAAGCGAAAGAGAGCATAGAATCGGGTGATAAAAGGATAGAACAAAGGAACGGGAAAAAGGGGGAAATGAGAGTGAGAACGAACGAATGAGAGACAGAAGAAAGAGAAGTAAAGGAAAGGGATTTGTATAGTGAGGAGATGGTGTGACAGTTCGTGGGCGGCAATAGATGTGCCATTGCCATTGTGGAAGGCGTTTGCTATGAAATCTCAGCCAGTTCAATAACAAAAAGTGGGTGTTGAAGCTTAGACGATCATAACATTCCCAAACGAACAAGTCGATTCGATTTTGGTCCAAGGACGGTCATCTATTTCATCCACCAAAGTATCCATACCGAGTCCAGTCGAAAGCTATAAAATAATCAGATTGAAACAAAATAAATGGCCGTTCGAGCCATACATATTTTAAAACGTCATTACTTGACTCAAACACAACTTTCCTTTCAGCTTCCTTTTTAATTTTCTATCACCCTCACCGCCCTTCCCCATTATCTTTTTTTGCTTCTTTTCTTCTTCTTTATGTTTTGCGACGTTTGATACAAATCACGACACTGGGACTTTGCCGTAATTGCCTCAGCATGTCGCAAGATGTTGTAATGGCATATACCATTACAGCGTCGCCAAACAGCCAGAAGGATCATTTTTAAAAAAATTACTTTTGGGAACGTTGAACAGGGAGTAATTTTGTTAACTGAAAGGAAACTACGCTTCGGCTCACCCACTTTTCATCAACAGTAAAGACATGACCAAAGAAAGAGTTGTTGCGTCCTGGGTAAGACGATAAACTACGTCCAGCAGCAAGGCCTCCGATCAGGATGTTTTGAGGAACGTGGAACCATCTCTTAATTGTTAGTGTTCCCAGGTCCTCCCTGATCCGGGGTGTTAGCACTTGTTAGGGCCCCAGCTATGGGTAAATAGTTAACCCCAAAACTGGGGTCAAAACATATATGAAAGTGTAAAAATAGGTTTTAATACCAGCATTATTACCAACAACATAGAAAAAAAATTACCAGCTATACATAAAAAAAATTACCAGCAAAACATTTTTGAAAAAAAAAAATATTACCAGCAATAAAAATATTGTCGGCATTAAATAACCCATTGAGGTTGATATGCCGTAAAACAAACCAAAGCAAACCAAAAAGTTGTTTTTGAAATGAACACTCGCATGTGGATCTCTCTTCCGGCTCCATGCTTTCTAGTCAACCTTAATCTTCGAAAATTTAAATGCAATGTCAGTCGCTATCTACTGTCTGCATGATTACTTTTCTTTTGTTCTCGTTCCATTTTTTAAGTAAGGTTCTTGTTCTTGTAACGGCATTCACCCGAAGTGGGTTGAGCCGGCTCCAATATTGGTCCCCAACCCGCATGTATAGCACATGAGATTTGATTATTGTGGTGAAGGCTTCGTGCAGGACCATCCACACTTTTTGAAGGGCCGAATTCAGAGACCTGGTGCACTACGTGCCACAAGGTCCCCATACGACCCTCCGCAGGTTTTGAATTCAGAGTCTTTTCCTTCTCCTAGACCAGTTGCCATCTAAGGCTATAGAACCCAGTCTGTCCTGCTCTTTTACCCATAGCTGGAGGGAGAAGAAGAGGATTAATACCTTTTCCAAGCACGTAAGTGAATGTAACGGATTCGACTGGAATTTGAACTCGGCTCTCCGATTCCTCAATCCAAGCCGCTATCCATTACTCCACCGTGCCTACTAAGGTAAGGTTCCCACTGTACAAGGCCCGGGGCCACTCGAGGTAGAGGGTTACGATAGGAGGCAGTTTGTTAAAATTGTAGTGATCGGGCAAACATCCTCTTGAGAGTTAGATTCCACAGTGCAGTGGTTCGCATGAAGAATCTGTTCAAGTGGAACTTCTCACCGATGGAATAGAGAGGGAATGTCGGTGGCTTGCTCCAATGTAAGTGGCATGGCGTGTCTTTGTCGTGAACGTTTGAATTGGCGGGACTTGGGAATGTAGCTCTTAACCAATAAACCAAATCCATTCTTAACCTATAAATTCAAATCCATCCTTAAACAAAAGACCAAAGGCGCTTTTAACGACTAAACCAAACCCAATCTTAACCAATACACCAAATTCCCTCTTAATCAACGCAGCGCTTAACCAATAAACCAATGTTACTCTTAAGCAACAAGCTAAAGCCACTCTTAAGCAATAAGTTAAGGCCACTCTTTAGCAAAAATCAAAGCCAATCTTAATCAACAAGGCATTTAACCAAAGTAAGCAAACAATCAAGAATAATGTATTTTTTTTAAACGAACGCAAGCAAACTGCAGCAAGCACCCAACCTGTTGATCGTATATCAAATCATGAAACAAAGGTAAAACATAATAAACACTACGTATGGTTATCATTATTTCTTAGTTGAATGGCGATGTTAACATGTTCACGTTTTGTCCTGCTGTAAATATCCCGTTCGGTAGCACAGATTTGCTTGTCACTTGCCTGATCATAGCCCGTTGAGCATGTTTTCTAAGTGCACTTTGCATCTCTTCTCGTGACCAGGAGTAGTGTGCCGAGAGGATGAGACAGCCAAGGCGACTTGGGAGTCACATACTTGGGAACATCCTCTATCAACATCGTCAGAACGGACTGTATCATCCGACCTGAAGGTAGTTAAAACTGAGCTCCATTTGCAAGATTATGCACTACTTTACATCAAAGCCTGTCAACGTATGACGCACATTTGTCTGCGTTGAATGCGCGCGGTTTACCCTTATCAGATAGGGTGTAGTGATGGGTATATTGAAATTCATATATTTTGAAGCCAGTACCGCTTTATTGATGCTGATCTCTCACTTAATAATAATAATAATAATAATGATAATAATAATAATAATGATAATCATTATGATAGATTTAGATTAAATTGTTTTTTACGATCTTTCAGCCTTTTGCAGGTTATTTAAAGCCGGAGGATATTCTCAGATTGCAAAATATTTTCGGAAGATAGTAATGATTGGTTTATTAGTTACAAGTTCTACTGATTAACCCATAGCTGGGAGGATAAGGGGTATCTGGGCGTAAGCGAATATAACGAACCCAACTGGAATTGAAACTCGGCTTTCTGATCCGAGCCGTTATCCATTACACCAACCGCACATCCAAGCTTAGAGCATATGGTATTCCCAAGTGGTCACCCATCTAGGTACAGACCAGGCTCGAGTGATAGTACGAGAACGGGTCTTTCAATGTGATATGACCGTAAGACAGGTTATGATAGAAAAGGAATGCAAACTTCTTAATAATTAAACTGGAAAATGATTATCCAAGTTAACAAGCTTATAAATTATCTTGAAGGTCTTTCGTAAAAGTATGAATCCAAAATCTATTTTCTGACAAACACCAATCAGAATTATTTTCTTGATTCAATTCAAAATCAATTTCCGGAAACGGAACTGAATGTCATCTACATATAAGATTCTGTGATTTTTGTCCGTCCGTCCGACCACATCCTGTAAAATCGTCATACATTGACCAATCAAAACCAAATTTTAGTGACAAGTGCGAAAAGAGGTAAAGGGGTACAAAATACAGTTGGTTTTACTAAGTTGCGTAGCTTAGTACAATAAATTTTCATTAATTTTTTTAAAGTTAAATGTTTTATTATTTAACATTCAAAATAATCCCACTATTTTCAAAACAATTTAATGATTAAAATAACAAATACTTATTTAATAAAAATGCAATATTTTTTTCTGCATACCTTTTGTTTAAGTTTATATATATACAAGAATCCAGTTTCCAGTTCGCGCTGCATTTGCATGAACTATAATCGAATCACAAGGCCAAATGCTTCAAAAAGTTGGAATTTGGCTCCAGAAAGAAATATTTACTCATGGTCAGTTGTATGTTGCATGATCAAGAGTAAGAACTCCTAAATAATATTCTTCGCTGTTAAAAAGGAAAAAAAAAACTTAAATAATATTATTTACTATGAACTATAAAATTTAATTAAATTAAAGAAATTATTAAAGCTCGAAGTAAGTTTTTGTCAAAGTATTTTACAAATAAATATGTTTATTCAAATTTCATCGATTGGTTTGCGAAATTGAACGAAACCTAGAGTTTGTAAATGTCGACAAAAATGTTAGCTATAACTTCAACAATACTAAATGCTGTGAGGATTTTAACATGCTAACACGTGTTGCAAAAACATTTTAGCACATTGTTATAGACAAGCGTATGGTTACAAGAAGGAAATACAACAGCAGAAATAGATTTACGTAATTTATTTCAATAGGAACGTGTGGTT